CAACTTAGTGTAAAATTTTACGAGTCTATAGAGTTCGTACAAAGCCTAATAAAGTTAAAGCATGACTGCCGAATTTATAAAAAAAAAAATAAAAAAAAAAGATTATTAGAAAAAATTGAATATATAATTTATTAACAAGTGATATTAAATTAGCAAAATAATATAATTAGAATAGGAAAATATTAATAAGATAAAAAGCTACAAAAAACTCAAGTATCTCTTATATAAAATATAACTAAATTTGGCTAATTTTAATCTAATTTGCTAAAAATTAAAAATTTACTTTTTTTAAATATTTCAGAATTTAGTAATCAGGATTAAATAAACTCTTTTTTATTAAATATATCTTATTAAGAACTTTCATTTAAAAAAAGTTTATCAAATTAGACTATTAGTTATTAAGATAATTACAAAAAACTGTTTTTTTGCTCTTTAAATTTGCAGAAATTTTGCTAAAACTTTCAAATATAATTTATATTAAAGATATTTGAAATTCTAGCTATAGTAAAAAAAATAATAGTAAATAGTACAAAGCCATATTGACTTAGTTTTTGACAGAGCTAACAATGTCTTTTACTTTATTTATAAAGTAGTAAAACAAGCCATATCTAATTGCTTATAAAGTAACTAAATAATGCTAAATTTGATTTTAGTTTAGATAATTAAAACATGTAGTGTTAATATATATAAAATAGATTATTTTTTAATAAAAATACCAATAAGACTATCAAAGTTTTTTTTTTAAAAAAAAATATTTAATAAAAATTCTAGCAAAAAAATTACTTTAATAATACCAAAAAAAAAAAAAAAAAAAGATTTTTTTACAGTAGTATTTACTAATATAATCAAAATTTCAAGTAATAAAATCTAGCTAATTAATAAAAATCTATTATTATAATACAATTATATTTTTAAAAAACTATTTTTAATAAGATTTAACATTTTTATATCTACTATATATATATTTTAATTTTGATATATATATAATTTTTTATGTATAAAACTTATCAAAAACCTTTAAATAAAAAATTTATCCAATTATGAACTCAAAACTTTAAAATTTAAAATTTTTTTTTTTGATAAAAAAGTTCCGTATACTCACAAATTTTTGTGAATAATGTAATCCGCTGGATATTTTTAGAGCTTAAAGAGATTACATCATTTGCGAAAATAGAATATTTATTACAGTGAAATTACTTTAATACGATGATGAATTCGTTTGTTGCGACAAATTCTTGCTCATGCAAAGGTGATATGACTTAAACTACCAAGATTAGACCACAATGCAAAGGACATGCATATATAGCATCAGCGACTATATGTATGAAACTTCCTTTTTGTTATAATATACGGTCGATATTTTTACTCAAACATTGATATGACAGTGATAGTAGAAGTGATCCATTTTGCGCAGAACGATTGCAGAGAATCGATGCTAAGATGTTTTTTTTAATATCCGAATTGTCAGAATAAACATGTCCTTTTTGAGAAAAGGCCACATTTCGTTAAAATCCCGATTGGATATTTTGATATCAAATTATTAAATTTTCCGTTAATGCGTAAACCGTATAAAATAACCATTTATTCATTCCAAAATAATTCTGAGATAAATAAGTCGAAACATCGAAACCAATTAATAATCGAAAGAACTTGATCGAATTGAAATTCTTTACAAATGAAAGACCGAATTTATATATGATTCGCGGTAATTCCTGTTCGTATCCTTATATGTGTAATAAGCCGTTGATTAATAAGTAATCCATTGTACTGTTCGACTATTACGGAATAAAACATATTCTACTAAAGAATGCTCTTGAACTCATCGATTATTAAAATATCGCACAAACCTAAAATTAGCACATTCATATCTCTGTGCAGCATATTGCAGTCTGTACTATCGTTCCGTACGGCGTTTTTTTTCTTTTTTGTTGAATTCATATTCTACAATCAAGCTAAAACTTCCAATCGTGTGCTGACAAACTGGATCGTGAAAAAAAAAGAATAAAAATGAAAAAAAAAGATTTAAGATTGTAATTTTTTTCCTTAATCTATAATTGTATTATATTACAAAAAAACATATTATAAAAAGAAATTGGTGTATCTAAACAAGCTCCGAATTTGGAAACGAAAAAGGTAATACGTATACATATACACTCTAAGGATGAAAAAGGCTTTTTTTCAAGGGTTTAATTAGGGATCTTAATTACAGAAGGAAGTAAAAAAAAAAAAAAAAAAAAAAGCCTCTAATATGTCCTCAATATTTTTTTTTTTCTTTTTTTTTGTTTTTTTTTTTTGTTTTTTTTTTGTGATGAGGAAGGTTGTGGGGAGAATTTTACAAAAGAATTACATAAAAGTCATATTAATATGCACGAAATAATATAATAAATAAGAGGGTTTGAAATTCCTTAATATACTTCTATTAAAATTTATATAAACAGTTAGTAAAAAAAAATTTTTTTTCTTAAAATTTAGTACATAAAGTATTATTTTAGAGCATAGTTGAAACGTGAAACGAACGCATTAGGCACTGTCTATGTTAAAAAAAAAAAAAAAACAATATTGTACAAACGGAAACGAAATTTTAAACGCATAAATTTTCTAGCAAATGTTCAGATATTAAGAATAATCCGATACGAGCATCAATTACGTTGTTGACCACCGCCCCGGCCATAGCCTTCACCATGACGTGTTAGATTCATTCCACTACTTTCATGATGATATTCATGGGGTGGTTGTCCGCTAATTGGTTGATTGTAAGCATGTCCACCAACATGTGGGTTACCCTGCACATAATTTTGTTGTGAATGCGGGTACCAATCAACAGGTCTTAAAATTGGGGACTCGCTTTCATACTTAATCTGTACAGGATGATGATCAGGTTGACGTTGTTGCACATGGTCCAAATGTTGTGTCTGGAGATTGTGCTGATGAGACTCGGAAGAATGTTGTTGCATGTGTTGATTATAGTAATGATGCTGCTGATATACTTGTTCTGTTGTTACTGGTCTAGCTGAAGGACCGGGCGTTACTTCGGCCGAAACAGCTGCATATTGCGGACGGACATGATTCCTGAAAGATGCTACCTGTTGACCTGCAACTGGGGTAAGTGGAGGTAAGCTAAGAGGCGGCTGTTGATGGTGATGATGCTGTTCAGGATGATCATGAAGGACTTGTTGATGCTGCGGCTCCATTCGGTGCATGTATTGCATATGTTGTAGATGCTGCTGATCGATTATTATTAGAAATATAATAAAGAAAAAGCTGCATAATAATAAATTTTCTTACCTGGTGTTCGTTTAATGTGGTCATGGGGTCAACTACTACTTTTTGATCAACAGGTACATTTTGAGACTAAATAAAAAGGATTCAATAAATACACGTGTCCAAAATAATCGGTGAAAATAGGTTTGATCGATTTGTACGCCTATGATGCAATATCGATTTGGTCGATCTCGCGCTGTAGACATTCACAGACAAATGTAGAAATTAAAAAATGTGGAGAAACTTACAGTGTTGAATTGAGGCCCGCCCTGAGTCAATCCCATTCCAAAGCCATATGGACTTTGATGATCTTGATATTCCATCTGTTTGATAAACAACCAAATATAACTAAATAGATCAAGAATTCATTCATTTCATTCATTATTCCAAACCTTTTCAGTTTTTACGCTGACTTTTTCTTCTCTTGGGACAATGTCTATCAAAAAATCGAACATGTCTATCTTTTTTATCGCATTGGCAATATCTGATCTTTGTAATGTTCTCCGTTTGCATTCTTCAGCATGAAGCCTAAAAATTAATATTAAAAATTTTGAATCATATGATTTTTATACATAAAAAAAAAAAAGGGGGGGAGTGAAAATTACCATGCCCGCATTGTTAATTCCGTTATAAAAATATCGCAACCTTTTGCAAATAGAATAGGAGCCTGATGGGTGATAAATTTCAAAAATCGGGTGATTTATCTAAATTTATTTTCGCATTTCGCGTGAATTCTTCAGAATATGACTTACTTCGGCACTGATCATCTTCATAAAAAATAAAATTTGGAATAACAGGTAAGAAATTAAAAAAAAATACGCGGAAGATTGATAAAGTAATATCGTGTGTAATTTATAGATGAACAAGTAGAATGAAAGTCGGAGAAGAAAAGGAAACCACCATGCGTACGATGAAATCATTAGGATTCGGTGTAACCATCCCTTGGATCCATAAATTGATCGATATTTTCTCTAATAATGTCTTTGGTGAAAAAGAAGAAGCGGTTTGTAAAACTCTACCTTAACCTCCTCATCAGTTTTCATGACCTTCTTGATTCTAGCGAGAGGCAACTGGTGAACCTTAAAATCGTGTACACCGTGTCGAATTTCATGTACTTGTTGTTGCCAAAAGCTATCAAGAACGTTATAATGTTGCGGTTGAAATTGGTGTTGTGGATGCATAGGTGGAGGAGCTGCTGCCAAGGCAACTTGTGTTTGGGGATCCGTTATAAGATGTTGAGCACCTGGACCACCTACAAGTTGGTGTTGTGGTAGTACCCTTTGGTGCTGGATTAAATGATGGTGGTGATTTAAGTGGTGCGCGTTTGGATCCCCCATGATTTCTATCTTGCTGTACGCTGTCAAATCTTACAGGTAGGTACGTTTACTTTAGGGAACAAGAAAATTAACAAGAGTTGTCCCCCGCCTTTTTATATATCTCTGAAAAATTTTACTATTTATATAATTTTTTTTTTTTTTTTTTTTTTTTTTTTTATATATATACTATCGCGACTTACTAATGTGTTACCTTGCAAATTTATGGAGCAAATTTAGCTGTAAAAGGATTAAATTTGCTTTGTAAGATGTGGTGGCTTGAAACAATATTAGCTTATAGCCCCGCACCAGTGTTCTACCTTTGGATCAACAGGTCTCTTCGCAAGCTAAAGAGTATAAACGGAACAACCTTTTGCAGAGACAACCAATCCAATCGTTGCTAGCTTTATATTAGTTGGCTCAACTCCAATTAGAGAATTTTGGCATTATACCCCAAAAATTGACTGTTGTGTCCTTTGTGTTTTGTTTGTTATGTTGGTAATCTGCTGAATTAATCTTATAATTTTCCGATTTTTTAGTGAAAAAAGAAAGTAATTCATGGACAGAAATATCAAATACCCCGTGTATATACGTGTATATGATTACAGGGGTACTTTCTATTTTTTTTTTCCTCGAGATAACACAAAAAAATTTTTTTCAGAAATTTAGATAATTTTCAATTTTTTTTTCTTTTTTAATTGGATGTCTTTTATAAGAAAAATCGATCACAAGTCGCAACGCGATAATATTACAAATATCTATAAACATTTGATGCTAGATGATCACACACGTTAGCCAAGCGTTTTTATCTAATATGGCACCGCAGATTATTTATATAGGCAAAGAAAATAGAAGAATCTTGACATTTGATCATGTGCGATTGGTGCACCATGTTTTTTTTTTAACACATAAATTCCATTGTACAATTATATAATCTTTATCCCGTATTATCAGAATTCTACATTTGAGAATTCCGAATCTTTAAACTACGATCACCAAATTTTTTTGGTCGCTACTTAGCGGACGGTCGGTGATTGCAATCCCCGTTATAATTGTTTGAGCGATTTGGTCATAACGCCTATTCGTGGAATGTCTAAAGGTCTGCAATCGAATCCCGTTAATCTAAATGCTATCAAGCATGGCTCCAACATATTTATTGTGCACCATGCATTTAGAAAATCAAGGTAACAAATTACATAAAAAAGAATTTAATATGCAATAATTCATGATCACCTGAAATATATATGCAAGGCGTTCAATTAGTTCATTTAATTCTTACCACTAATATGAATATACGCATGTAACTATTTTACAACAAACTAAATATAAACTGACCACATTCTAAGGGCAACCAATCATACGCTCGTTTTCTGTTATACTCTTTAAAAACATATGTAACTCCGTATGGCTGCATGTACATCGACCGAATATATGTATGTACGTACGCAAAGTGTTGTCTTTAATCATGGGAAGCAAAATCTATTATCCGGCATCGATATATTATTATCTTCAATATCGATATGCTATATTCGGAAAAGCTTCCATAGTTTCTCCCTACACCATCTGTTACATTTCCCACATGTCTACATGTTCAATAATGTCAGATTGATCACATTAACGCGATTCTGACGCGAATAGTATTTACGTTTTTGTTTTTTGACCCGAAGATACTATTTATCGATTATGCAATAGAAATTTTCAATATACATACTAAAGGAATGGTCGATAGGTTTGCACAGATCAATATAATCTTGAATAGGTAATAAATAATTATATAAATAATAAACAAATCCACAAGATATTGATTTATATAACGTCGAACTGATTTGGCTAAAAAAATTATATTTAGGCTATACAAGTTAATTTTTTGCTTTTGTTTTATAATATTAAAACTCAAGAACAGGCCCGGACACCTGGTGTTTATTATTAGTATATATATATTATTACAATATTATTACATATATATTTTACAGAATTTTTTTAAAATTCCAAATATCTATACGGCTGTTTTCGTGAATTCTGGGACAAATAGAAAAATTGCGATAACTGAATTAATAAGTTTCTGGCGTTGGTAGACTTCGATAACTTACTAGTTCTGATTCGGTTATTGGAAAACTCTTGTTGAAAACAGTTGTAAAATTTAAATTCAGCATATATATATATTTTAGTATATATATATATTATATATATATATAATATTATATCGGGTAAATGTAATTATATATTATATAAAATAAATATGTAATAATTGTAATCATTAAATCTTTTATATGATACTAGCGGAGATATAAAAAAGGTCCTGTCTAGGGACTTATCAAAACCGGTATACCGGGTTGGTGAAAAGTCCCTAAATAGGACCTTTTTTTGCTACCCCCGCTAATATTAAAAGTTGTTTAGATCCGTTTGCTATTGATTAGTTAAAAATTTTTTTTTTTAACTTGATAATTATGTCTCATTTTATTAAACAAGTGAATAGTTATATTATCAAATGCTATTACTATTACTAATACTAAGTATTGTAAAATTAAAATAAAGCTTGTATAATAAGCATCTATTTGTAATTTGCCAAAATAGATTTTATTCCTTTATACTGTATTACCAGTTTATATTCCAATTATATAATTTCTTGGCTTAGATTTATAGCTAACTATGATTATCTTATTCTTTTTAAATCTTTTTTATCTAGCTTCTATAGTAGAACTAATAAGTTATAGTTAAAAAAAATATTTTATAGAAAGAGATATAAAGAATATAAGTATAAAAAAAATATAAAAAAAGTAAATAGTTCATATCTATTCGAATAATTTAAAAGAAAAGAGATAAAAAAACAATATATATATATATAGTCTGGCATACTAAAAAGAAAAAATATATTATTATAACTTGTATATAAGGCTAAAAAATTATATATTAACTGCAATATTTATATATCTTTATTGTAAATAGTGTTTAAAATTTAAAAAAAAATTTATTTGCACAAATATAACTTTTTTAAAAGCTTTACTTGTATATTTAAAAAAATTTTTAAAAATTTAAAAAAATTTAAAAAAATATTTACACATATATATATATTTTGTACAAGCCAATTTTAAACTCTGATTATAAAGCTTTGCTTTAATATAAAATTTTTTTCTGCTTATATACTGTAAATACCTTCAAAGATCTTGTTAGACAGAAATTTTATTATATAAAGTAGTATTATATTTATTAACAAACAAAATATATAGTTGCAATCTACTATAATATTTAATTTGAAAAAAGTAGTATCAAACACCGCAGGGAAAGGGACCTGGGACATCTGCGGTAGTGGATGACTAATTAGGAAAGTTGTGGCTTGAGATACAGATTGGGTTTCGGCAGTGCCTTAAAAAGTAGCTTGAGATACGAACTCGGTGATGGCAGCATAACAGGTACTAGTTAGAAATTTGTAACCAATGATGTACTGAAAATCTTGTAAAAATAATGTACATTTGTGTATATTCTACTATAATGAGTAATAAAGAGGCAGTGTCGTTAAAAAAAAAAAAAGTAGTATCTGGACCAAAATTTTCTACCAAAGAAAAACCAAACTTTTGTTGGAGAGATGTGGTCTAACATAGTAGTTTGCCTAAAGGTCAATATTTCTTTGTTTCAGAACTCCTCTATAAGTTGTATATTCAGCATACAAGCCAAAAGCATTAGTATTCAAAATAACTGTATATTCTTAAATACAAAATCTTGGTAGTAGAATAACTGTTTTCACTATTAACAAAGTTATTTGGGCTGTTACTTTAGAAGGAGAATACAGAAAAAACAACAAGGTTTTGCTATTCTTCAAACTATACTTTTTTACTTGGTTAAGTAATTCTTATTTTATCTCTATTTGTTTTCTCATTGGTCTTCCAAAATTTTTTTACAAAAAGTAAAGATTTGGCTTACTCTCTTCAAAAAATCAACATTATTTATATTCCAAATTTGGATAACTATTAGATTGCAACTACATATTAAATAAATACAGTGTTACTATACAGAATTAGGCTCTAAATAAGAAACAAAAAAATACTCTTAATAGTGGCAGCAGATGATTTAAAATACAGGTTTACAGATAGTAACAGCATCTGGCTTGAGATACAAATTAGGATAGGCTGGAGCAAAACTATCTAAAGTTAGTTAAATAGTCAGAAAGAAAAACCCAAGATTAAGGCAAAGCTTTACAATAGACATTGTATTTGGTATATAATTTTTTTAGTCTTGCACAAGTTATAATAATGCACTTTCTTTCATTTTTATATATAGGTTATAACTTTGATCTTCTTTCTTTTGTTTTTTCTATTTTTGTCTTTTTTTTTATTTTTATATTATTAGTATATTTTTATCTCTATTTTATTTCCTTTATATTTGTTTTTTTTTTTCTTTTTATTTTGTTTGTTTTTTTGTAGTTTATTCATTGTAGATAAATTATGAGATAGTCTTTTTACCAAGATCTAGATAGAAAAAATTTAAAGAAAAAAGGTGATTATAATAGGTTAATAAATCCTAGCCAGTAATTTGTAGATTTGAAATCTGATATAAATCTAGAAGAAGCAAGAAAACTGTTTTTGCTTTTGGCAGGCTGCACATAGGTTCAATTGGAAACTAAATAAATCACACTTTAGTATAAAATAGCATTGGCTAATTAACTTAGTTAATCAAATGTAATTTTACTCATACAAGTTGCTCTTGACTAATATCTTAAATAATAAAGTTGTAGTATAACAATTTTAAAAAAAAAAAAGTAAACAATACAAATTTTTTAAAGCTGTTTTGCTTACTTTTTACAAAAATTTTGTTAAAAATATGCAAATAATAGTAAGAAGTATAATTTTTGTTCTTTTTTTAAAAAAAATTATATTTTTTTTTAAATATAATAAGATATATAAAGCTAAGCAAAGAGTGTAGTGACTTAGCGGCATAGTAGAGTTGTTACACCCAAGCTAGTATAACTATAGTACTGAGTTCAAATCTTACTAATGATGTTTTGAATAAAATATCTGTATTATCCCTTT